TTAGTATTATTATTATTATTAGTATTATTATATTTTTGTTATTATCATTATTGCTATTTATACTACTAATATTCCTATTGTTTAGTGTTAAAAAATAATTATACTTTTAGCAAATTCTGGTTAACTTCTCCAAATAATTTATCCATAATGATTACATTTCAATTTTACATACAGTATTTTTAAAATTTATTTTAATAATTTATGACAAAGATAAATTATCATTAATAATGGGATTAGTAATAATTTATCTTAAATTTCTATTTTCTTTTCACAATATAAACATTTATTTAAAAGTGGTGCTTAATAGACTTGGGCTATTTTAATCCTGCCATTTCACTGCAGCTATTCCGTACTACGGTATTTATAAAATTCTCCAAGGTATGTATGTATATATGTGCGTGTGTGTGAGTGTGAGTGTGTGTGTGTGTGTGTGTGTGTGTGTGTGTGTGTACCTGTATATAAATATAAATACAACTTTTTTTGGTACATTTTATCGGTTATTATGTAGGAAAATTAGATTTGAAAAAAAGGACGAAAAAAGAAGATGAGTGATATTTTGTCGGTGTTTTTGAAAAGTTAAAAATTCCAAAAAGCCTCAAATGAGAAAAAAGAAGAAAGATGAAGTTTTCGTTGATGTGAAGTAAAAGGTGTGTTCTTGTTGTTATGAATTGTTTGCTGTTCAACTTCCAAAAATTTTCAAGTCTAGCCAAATGAGAGGGAATAAGATGAGGGAAGAAGAGAAGAAGAAAGAAGAAAGAATGGGAAAAAGGTTTAATGATAAGTTTGTATCGAATACAACGTACAACAACTGGTTAGTAAACAATAGACTCTTCAGTCGTTCTCTTTAAAGTTCTGATAAATTTAACCAACATTAGAGGTAGGGAAAAAAGGAGGAAGGTGGACGAAAGAAAGGGGGCAAAAGAGTGGAGAAGAGGAGGAAAGGTAACAAGGAAAATTATAGCAACAGCTGTCACTAATTGTGCTTCACAATATTTTCCCATCACTTATTATATTTACATACGTATATATATATATACATATTTATTCAATTTCATCCTTAGAAAAATTCTTTTTTATTTGTTTTTGTTTTTATATTCATTTAATTACAACAAAAAGTTTTATTATTTTAAGAGATGATTGATTAAAATTTAATGATTTTATTAATTTTATACCTAAATTTTAATAGTAATTATATGTAAATTTTAAATATATTATATAATTTAAATAAATTATGAAAATGTTATTTTGTGTTAATTAATTATTTCATAAGCATAGAAAATGCCTCGAAGAAGATACTTTCATTTTTCTCAAAACACGGAAAATGTTGAATGTTGGAGTAAATTATATTATGTTTGACGATAACCGGATGAAAAGAAGGATAAGAGAGAGAGAGAGAGGGAGAAAAGGAAGGAAGGAATAAATGAAAAAGAAGGAAAAGAAATGTGAAGAGGAGTTACACAATTTAGAGGATTCATTCTTTGAACTTTGAGAATTTTAAATTTCCATTTAAAATATTTCAGTGACCGTATGGAAGAATATTATACAAATTGTGACAATGAATTAAGCGGTATCGAATATGAAGTCATTGTTTGTTTTCTTCTTTTTATTTATCATATAACAATTAAGATAATGCTAAAATATAACGTTACATATTTTCCGAAGTTTCCTAGGAATTTGATGAAATATTAATTAAAATTTCAAATATTGCATACCATCAATAATTATCTATAAGTTGATCATAATGAATGGATGATCGTTTAAATTCAATGATTTGTTAATTAAGTGTAATAAGATTTTATCATATACTGATAAAAAAAATCATTCCTGATGTGGGCGATATTCTGATAATTATATTATTTTGTAATTAGAATGCATATATTTTTGAAAACTTTAAAATTTTCAAATTTAAAAATTGAAACTTCAAAAACATCTCCGCGAAAAAGTGTTATTTATTGCAACATTTAATTGCTAAAGAATGCTATTGTTTTACAATATCGCTTTTCTTTTTGAGCCGAAAGAAAATGTGAAATTATAAAATATTCAATTAAAATTGCAAGATCGTTTTTAATTTTTTGTTTCAGACGTTTGAATTTTAATCGTTTATCCATATTTTTTTTCTTAGTAAAATATTGAATAGAATGTAATTAATTACATATTCTTTTATGTGACGTATTGTTTTTATATTTTAGAAAATAAAGAATCAAAAAATAAAAACGATCATTTATTATTTGACAAAATGATTGGTTAATAAAATATCTTCGATAATTATTTAACATTTTAAATTGATATTTGAATAATTAAGTTGTTATAGAAATCTTTTTGTTTTCTAATTTTAGATTTATTACTTATTTCATATTAAAAAATCATTTATCAAAAATTTTGATATTCTTATCCAATTTTTAAGCTTATATTTTTTTTACCATTAAATATCATTTCAATGGATTATAAATATATTTTCTAATTTTAGATTTATTATTATTTCAATGTATCATCCGTTTAATTTTTTAATTTTGTAATTTCAATCTTTCTTCTTGTTCAATTTTTTCCGTTTTAAATTTTGTTGTTTTAGTGAAATGATGTCATATTTTCCTCAAACTATTGTTAACAGTATTAATCATTTTGCAAAATCTAAAATTAAAAAATTGGAAAAAATTTTTTGAAAAAGATACTATTTTAATTTTTTGCAAAAAAAAAAACAAAAAGTGGGAAAAAAAATGAAATTAAGAAAGATACCGCCAATACCGATCGTCGTACAAATACATATACCTTCAACAAAATTTTGGCAAACATATTTATCTTTCAAACAAGCTTTTTTTTCTCCCATCTTTCTTTCTTTTGTTTCATCAATTCGAAATGTTTCCGGATCCGTTTTTTTTTTCACTTCCTATTGCAAGTTTTGCTATCAACCAAAATTATCGGAGTATTTTTCAGTGATCGGAATTTTTTTGGTTATGTTGAAAAAGCTAAACAATGAATTTATGAATAACTTCTGCTAATAAACTTTTGTTATTTTATATCTTTACAGAATGAGAAAAAGAGAAAGTGAAAAAGAATGCAGGAAAAAAGTTGCTAAGAAGAAAAATGTCACGAAAATTTAAACTTTGTTTTCAATATTTGAAAGTTTGTTAATTTTAAAAAAAAGAAAAAAGAAAATTTTAGATTTATTTTTTGAAATTTCAAAAACTTTTCGTTTTTTTTTTGCAGGAAGTTATATTGGAAAAATCAAAAAGTTGTCCACGTTTGGGCTTGAAATTATATTACGGTACTGAAAATGAGAATGATACTGATGTATTCATTGGCGAGGTTATTTAATATTTATTATCTCTTATAGCTAAGTGATAATAGATAAGAGTTGAAATTAGCATAGCCTTATTCATTCAGCAAATAAAGTCTAACTAATCTTCCAATGCTTAGTCAAGAAATAGTTATTCAGATAAGATGTTTCATTATTTTCATATGGTAGCGTTTATTGCGTGCGTCTTAAAATCAGTGAATGATATTTTGATAAAAATTGACAGCAAATTTTTTCGGACTATTTTAAACTTTTCATTGCTGATATGAAAAGTTACTGGCTAATGATAAAGCATTTAACCTTTAAACTTTTAAATGCCATTTGACGCAGATGCTCATTATAAATTTAGTAGAATAAATTTTTCAGGTTGAAAGTGGAAGTGTCGCAGATCGTGATGGGCGACTTAGGCCCGGTGATCAAATATTACAGGTTTGTACCTGTCTTTTTTATCTTGAAATGTTGGGAACGAAATATCAAATTTTCCTTTGTTTTTTCGAAATTTGATGCAGCAATTATTGCAGTAAGAATAAGAAAGTAAAAATGTTGAGGAATTTTTTTTTAAAAAAATTGTTTTAGTCTTTGTAATTATTATAATAAATTTGAATATTGTATTATTACAGGTAAATGGTGAAACAATTTATAGTCGTGCCAGTGCTGTAAAACAATTTCGTAATAGTGGTAATAAAATATCCTTGCTACTTGCCCGTTCTATTCAGGTTATTTCCTTTCCTTCATAAATTATTTGAGATTGTTACGAGCAAAGAGAGTATATGTAAAACTGTTGCTGTCAAGTAAGCAATAATGATAATAGATAGGTAATTGAAAGAATTTAAAAATTTATAAAGTGTAATTTTTTTCATTGTTTAGAGTGAAGAATTTGAATTGTTATTGGAACCAACAGGAGAAGGTTGTAATGAAGACGATAAAGATGCATTAACTGATGCCAATTCCAGTAATTCTACCCTTGAAAAAGTTATTATTTTCTTAGCAGAATTTCATATTTTGAATGGTAATGGATTTTAGGATTATTTGAAAATGTAAATATTCCTGAAATCTTTATCCGGAAAATCCATTTCTATTTTCCTGTTGACTGATCCTATAAAATTTTGCACCAAGACTTAAAAAGAGAACAGAAATAAAAGAGAGAAAGAGGGAAAGATTGTAGAATCGAAGAAATAAAACCGTAGAATCGAAGCTCAGAATAGAAAATTTTAAAATAGAAGTTTGTTGGATTATATTTTCTAATATTACTTGAATTCTTAATGTTTGACCTGTTTGTATATTGTGTCACCAATGGGATGGATGATCTATATGATGTTTAAAGATTCGATTCATATGTTATTAGTTAGTACATCATACTTTGTTCTAGGATTCTGGACTATCAAGAATGACTGATTCGGATGCGGAATTGTTACCCGCTCCAATACCTAACAGTTTAAATCAGTCAATGGACTCATTGAATGATTTACCAGAAGTAACAGACTGTAGTTTAAGAAGGTTAGATTAAAATAATTTGAATTTCAGCTATCAGAAAAATTTGCTGAAGGAGTGATCCAAGAGTTACATTTGTGAAGTTCAACAATATTGAGTTCTTTCTCAAGCTTTTTTATAACCGTCTTGATCTGGGCTTTTTCTTTTCAAGTCTATGAGTAAGTTTTGAATTTTTTATGAGTTGAAATTAATCCATATCTTTGTTTGCAGATGCGCAAGTGAGTATTCCTTAGAACGAGAATTAGCATCGTTGCATCACGAAATGGAAACTATACGTATAGAATGTGATAGGCTTATTTTGAAACACAGTGATAGTAGACGAAATTTTCTCAAGGTAGATTTTTTCATTCATGAATAAGTAATCTTTTTTTGTAAATTAGTAAATTTGTAGTAATATAATTGATAATTAGTTTAAATAAATTCCGGAAAGATTAATTTATGAAAAGTATCAGAAATATTACAGTTTAACCATAATTTCCTTTCAAATTCAACAATTCAACATCGATTTTAAATTATGAGTTATTTGAAGTATTCAGTTAAAATTATGAATTGCTTGAAGGTGTAAAAGAAGTTTTATTATCATGTAAAAAGTAATTTCATCAATTAATTCATTAAATTAGCAATTAACTAATGAAATATTTGTAATTAATTGAATTTTCAGATGTCACATATAGCAGACAATGATCAGAATGTATATAAATTAAACGATGATATAAGACGAAGATTGGATGATACGTCAAGTGCTTACAATACTGGTGAATCATGCCGCAGTACACCGTTGAAACCAGATGCTACTGCTCAAACTAAAAAGTAAATTTAAATTTAATTCATATAACTATTTTATAATCGACTCAAATTCTAACTAATTTTCACTGAATGGAAAATTTTTGTTTCATTTTGTTCGTATCAAAAAAATGACTGATACTTCTTATATGTAAAATTATTGGTTATATGAAATAATCACGGATCAATTTATATCAATTTGTAAATATATAAAAAAAAAATTTAATATAAAAGGATGACCAAATTTATAGAAATTTATTTTAAACTTTTTAATTTTCAAACAGCTGATTTTATCGTTTTCAACAATATTTGATCTCAATATTATATTCAATTAACAGAAGTAGCACTAGCATGCAACCGCGCGATTGTGCAACATTAGATAGTTCCGTCGGTGATACGGCTCGATGTATAGCTTCACAGAATCCATCCACTTCACAAATTTCGCAAGTTAAATTTAGGTAATTTTTAACACCGTAAGCCCAAATTTAGATCATTTTCCATCCTACATCATTATTCAACAACGAAAAAAAACCATCATGATAGAGATTTTAAAGTCTGTAATCGAAAAAAAACGCTCGATTAATGAGATTCTAAGATATCTCGGGAACATTTATTATAACTTTTTTTCGAAAATTCTGTTAATTTCAGATTACCACAATATTCCGTTATTTTAAAAGAAGATGGGAGAAAAGGACATGTTACAGCAAAAGGAAATGAAGAACAAAAAATGAGGACAAGTGAAAGAAGACCAACGACGACACAAATGGTTGATGAAACTTATAGACCGGAAAGGTAACACATACTACTTTAATTTTTTAATTATCGCCAAGTTCATTCAATCACACCATTATTTTTTTCCTATATATATACATATGTATTGATTAAATGTTAAGTAGTGGCAGAATAATGAATTCTGATTTTAATTTTAATAAGACGAATCATAATAAAGATGTGATTCATCGAAATGTTGTGGTATTTGGAAAAATTTTGCTTGAGAATTTCTCAATGGAATTTTTATTGTTTATACTTTATCACTGTATTCTTTAATCAATTCAGATTTTTTATTCAATTTAAAACAAAAAAAATAACAGTAATATCGACTGGTTAATTAATTAATTAATACGCATTGTATGAAAGGTAGAAAAGGCGAATAAGATGATGATAATAGCAAAGTAAATATGTTGAGAAAAGAAGAAAAATCATTTAAATGAATGAATCAATTAATTAATTAACTAACTAATCGATATTACTGTTACTATTATTATTATCAATTATTATTATTATTGTTATTAATTATTATTATTATTATTTTCTTTTTGTTTGAAGTGATAGAGCTGGGATAACAATGTATACGATGCCACAAAAATTAGCGGAAACGATAGCTCTTCAACAACGATTATTACGTGAAGCAATGGTTGAACAAGCTCATATGTTACGAACATCAGCTAAAGGTAGTGCAATTAGCGCTGTAAATAATAATAAAAATGGAGGAGGAAAAAGAATGGAAGGATCAGCAATGAAACAATTTCAGGATAATAAAATTCAGGGACCATGCGAATGGAAGGTAAAAAAACTTCATTGTCTCCATTTTCCGAAGTGCTAATTAATATTTAATTACATATGTATTGTATTAAATAAATGACTGATATCGAGAAATCCTTTTTTTTCTTCCAAATTATTCCAGAAATTATAAATGATACAACTATTATTTGCATTTCAAGAATTCTGAAATTCCAAAGAAAAAGAAAACAATAATCAATTAATAAATATTATGTTGAAAATATTATTTTCCAATAATTTAATGCATGTTGATATTGTGACATTTAAGATCATTCATTAGTTTACAATTTGCGAAGCTTTGCTTTTTTTCCGCTTTCAAATTTTATTAATTACCCATTTCCGAATCATTTCACCGCTATACATTACTAAGGTTTGGTTGGTTATTGTTGCTGGAAGTAGTTCGAAAAATGATCGTTTAATTAGTTTCCACTTAATTTATGTTACTATTTGAGGAAGCATTTCCTGAAAGGTACATGATTAAACGAAAAAATATTTAAAAAAAAAATAATTATATAAATAAAATGAAATAAAAAATAAATACTGCTGAAAGCTTTTATCATTTTCTATCGGAAAAGCTCGTTTTTGCAGAATAATCCGAACAGATAATATTTTTCGAAGTAAATTAACAGAGTTAGTTTGAATTATAAACAACAATCTTGTTTGTTGATTGCTAACGATGAAATACTTACTAAATTCTGATCCATTTTTCATCCTTTCCTAATTCAATTTTGTTAGGGTGATCTTTTTTAGTGTATTAAGCAATATTAATAGGAATAAAATTATATTGCAGAAGTTGTCACGTATAATATAAATGACATGCTTGATATAATCATAATTTCGTAGTTGATATAATCGTCATACTCGAGCATACAAAGTTCATTGAAAATTATGAATTATGTGGTTCCAGCTAATAATTAGAGGAAAAATCCCAAAAAAAAAAAATATTTCATACCTTTTATTAGCAATCAATTTGATTTTCCAACATTGTAATTATTTGAAATTACGAAAACTGTCAATAAAATTTAACCATCAATCCAAACATTTTTCAAGTTTATAAAATTTCCAAAGCACAACAATTATTTGATGGAAGTTCGTTACTTATTGAATTTAGAGAAAGACGATGTTTTAGATTAAGAGGCGACCAGATGGGACACGATATGTCACGAGGAAGCCAATTCGAAATAAATTACTGAAAGAACGAGAAGAGCAATTAAACAAAGTGAGTCGAGTTTTTCTCGGACTTTCAACTTTAGTGAGAAAAAATTTTCTCGCTCCTTATCAAATAAAAGATTTAAACGTTTCGGGTGGTTTATTTTGGAAAAATTTTATTCAGGAACGTACAGGTGTAAGCACAGATGATGATGCGATGAGTGAATTGAAAACTGGACGATTTTGGACTCGAGAGGAGCGCAAAAAGCAATGGGAACGAGCCAAACAACGCAAATTACGATATCATCAATTAATGGCTCAACGAAATCAACAACCATCAGATCAGGTAAGTGATGATTTCAAACACTTCAAGGATTGAAACAAATAATTAATTTATTCATATGATTTTCCATAGGGTATGGGTATTTTAATTTCAAGCATTGCCATTTTTCAGTTGATTGTACAATTATCACGAAAAAAGATGATGCGTCGAAAAGGTAATCCATTGCTAGACAAATTCACCACTATTCAAGAATTCATGGCTCATGCAAATCGTGATATTTCTAGTCGTTCCATTGATGGAATTTTATCAGTTACCACTGTATGAAATTCAAGTATAAAAAAGGAAAAAAATTAACATCTATTCTTCGCTACATTAATTTATTTCACAGAAATTAAATTCTTCCCTTTTTATGATATGAGTCATTATGACAACCGATAGTTTTCAAAATTCCCAAATTTTGATTTGTTACAGCTCTTTCATGCTTATGTGAATTGAATGTATAATTCTCATACCCCGCATTTAGTATCAAATCTATTGAAAGAGAAAAATCCAATCACAAATATTTACAGACTAAAAAAAGTGTACAAATTCTGAGGAATTCAATTTGCAAAAATAGTTCACGACAAAAGGCATTGTTTGTACGGCTGGCATAGACAATCTACAAAATCTGTCACCACATGGAATTGAAAACTTTCCACACAGCTTGTAATGATAAATTTTTATGAATATAAACAGAACTAAATGATGGCAAAAATACTCCTATATTATGATACATGCTAATGAAAGGTAAAAATTGAGAGATGAGTATAGCAATTTGATTCTGTTATGAAACAGCAATGAATGTTACTTACTTCATGTTATTTTAAAAATAATAAGAATTGGAACTTTGAAATTTGAAATTACCAAATAGGGGTAAAATTTTTAAGAAATTAGAAATCAGTAAGTGAAAGATTAATTCAATTTGTTGATTATTCAAATGCTACGATAGTGGTGTTTGTAAATTTGAAAATTTTTAAACCCATAACAGCATAAATTCATCGGAAAAAAAATATGGCGGAAAGAAAAAATTTGCAAAAAAGTAACAAAAACTAAATTAAAATTGACAAAATTCCTGAAAAGAAAAAAAAAAACGGAAGAAAAACCCGACAACACACAACATGAATGAAATTCCTGAAAAATGTCAATTCCGGGGCTAGCATTTTTACGACGCGGGATCATTGTTTTTGATAAAATCCAGAAATATTATATCAAAATTATTAATAATACAGGAAAAAACTGTTTCGTATTCTATTTTCTTTCCCGAGTATTTCTGTCATCCCGCATAGCAAAGTCCCGTATATATACCCTGCACAAAAATTGAAAAAAAATTAACAGCTAGAAAAAAAAGCATTTCTGGTCTTCCAAAATATGCAGATAAACTGTACCCGCACATATGTACAAACAAGAAAAAATGGGGTAGCATGTGTGAAATGAACAATGTATCCAAAAAATGAAATAAAATTTGTTGAAAATGATAAAATCAAGTAACCATGGGAACATCTGAAACTTTACGATTTTTAAAAAATATCCAAATATGCGCAGCAACGCATTCATGTGAAATCCATATTGGCTTGTTCATGGTAAGTATTAGTTGCAGATGTTTGACTGTGTTGATTATCCGGAGAGAAGTTAGCATGATCCCATAGTATGTCTGGTGACATCTGATTATTCAAATTGGTTGACGGTGATGGGCCAGTTCCACCTGCCGATATCATTGGATCATCCTGTAAATCCATTTCGGTAAACTAGACCAAAAAGTAGAACGGTTTGGGAGTTGAGATTTCTTGAAGAAAGAAAAAAAAACTGGATTAAAATTAGATCAAACTCAAACAGCATGAAAACGCGAAACCTGTAGAATGGAACGCATTGCATTCAAATCGTCCATGATAAGGTCTGGAAAACCTTGCTGTTGCGGATTCAACGATGGTGTATTTGATTGAGTAAAGGTGTTTGTAGAATAGGGATTATCTGTTGCACTGAAACTACTATCAACACGAAATATACCAACTTAGTTGGATTCGTCATCAATCGCTCACTTAAAAATATACCTCAAAAATGAACCACCATCACGGCGACTATTCAGACTGGATACTGGACTAATGATTGAAATGGCAGCTGTTGTATCAGTTAATTGTGACACGAATCCAGTGGAGCTCTGAAAGACAATCAGGAAACGACGAAAATGGAAATATGCTAACTTCGCTTCTCTTTCTTTCTTTACATCCTATCAACAGAAAATTTTTCTGTTGGACTATCATATCAACAAAAAAAATTGTAGCATAATTCAAATAATTCGCATATAAAATACTTTCATACGTAAATCCATCTAAGAGATTAAAGATATTGCTTTCAGTTCAAAAAACAAAAAAACGAACAATACAATTAGATGGGGTGTGAGAAGGTGAAGGAGGGATTTCATCGAACGGTTCTTGTTTTATGGATCGCTCATCGTTGGAAAATGATGATAATGGTATCGGCGGCAAACTTACCGAAGCTGGTGGTATAGCAATGCCATTTTTTTGTAAATGATTTTCAAGCTCCTGTAATTTACACAAATTTTACAACCATGAAGATATGAGTAGAAGAACGGTCAATCACACAGTTCAAATTTTTTTAAATTGTAAAGTGCAATAGAAATCAGCCCTCATAACTTATAATATAATTGCTTTACCAATTTTCAACTAGTAAGGTTAGCAAAAAATCCTTTCCATTGATAGATTTTTTCGATGTATGATAGATACATATAACGGTAGTTTGGAATTCCGGTAGTTGTCCAGGATCACTCATAAAATTTTCCAGATATGGTACACTAAGCAAAATTAATTAAATTGACGAAATTTACTAACTTTAACCCGATCAGCATACATTCGTGCTGCCTGTTCCAACCTCGCCTGATACTGCTGTTGTCTTAACATCAATTCACGATCCTTTTGTAGCTGCCGGATGTAGTCACATGAAGCTTTTAATATGGTCCCTTTATTTAGCTTCAATTCTCTGAAATATAACCAAAAGTTAGAAACTCCTTTGAATAACTTACATGGGCAGAAAAAAACTTGATGATGTGCGTGAAAATCAATTACGGTAGTAAAAAAATTCAGGAAAGGAATCTTTTATAAATTTCGAAACACTTACTCAGATGAACTTTTGGGAAGCATAAGTCCCAATTCCTTTATACGATCATTGATATTGTAACGCCTTCTTCGTTCAACTGTAACAGTAAACAATTTTTGTAAAATCACTTAAATCACAGCATTAAAAAAAACCCACCGTCAGTTTATATGAGTGGAACGCTTCTTCATCTGTTCATGGTTATGAAAAACATTGTTTCATTTATTCTTAAGCGCTAGAAATAAATTATCAATTCAGACAATATATTCAATCTAAAAAAGAAAACAACAAACAACTGAGATCGCATTTGCCGCAAATCATAATTACACTTCCATATTTCTGATCCTTTCAAATGAGGAATGGCCATTTAAAAATGTAATAAACCCACTCATATTATGTATATCCTTTTTCCTCCTTTCACGATAGAAATCTTGATCACTGCCAATATCTTGATTAACATTCCGTACTAGTGCTTCCATGTCCAAACTACTAGCCGGAGCGCTTGATGATACTATTTGGCGACAATTTGAGCCAGTAATTGATATCGAGCTTATAGGCGATATACTTTGACCCGAATCAACTAAAATTGATTATCTTTCGTTTGTTATCCCTTAAAAAAAAAAAAACATGATATCTCCGTCCGGCACCAGGTAATACGGCATTTTATATTAAAATATAAGAAAATTTTGGAAATACAATTGGAATAAATTTTGGAAAAAATTAGTAATATGAAACTTACAAGAATTATTTGCACCAGGAATTAATCGGCCTTTTGAGACTGTCGTACCACGTAACGTCGACGTCACTGTTGTTAAGCCATCAGTGCAACCATACGTTACCGGAAGCTACAAATAAACTTAATTACATGCATTATTGCAAGCCATCTTTTTAAACTAAAAAAAAAGTGAGAACTGAAAAAACTTACAAAATTCAACCATTTCATTTTTAGCAATTGAAAAATTATGAAGGAGAAAAGTCAATTTTATGATCTGGATCACCCCGTTTCTTTTTTTTTTAAATCGACCATTCGTGGGAATCTATAAAACGAACCGCCTGTGCTTTCGTGGCACCCAGTTCTCGTAGCGCCATTTGATCGTCTTCTAATGATAAAATGTTACCAGTTATGTAATCATCCAGCTTAAAAAAAATCTCCAGATGTATGATAAATAAAATAAGCAGAAAAATGTAAACACACGTAATGCAATCATTTACGACGTCAATTACATTTTCACATGGCATATAATTTATGATCCAATTATTTTCTCACGTGTAAATTTAATTCTTTCATTGACAGTAAATTCCTATATCATATAACAAACATATATCATATACATTTCAGGAATGTTATTTAATTCAATTACGGAAATGTTTCTGATGGAAATAACGAAAATATTATCACGTAGGAATAAATGTAGATATTAATACTTTAATTAGATCATATGATTAAAATATGTATGAATCATCAACAAAAAGGTAAAGAATGAAAAATATATAACTAAAAAAGATATGAAAAAAAATAATAATAATAATAGTAAATGAATTAACGCTTTCGTAAAAACCAGTCCAATGTTTATATTTTCCAACACAACTTTAAGATGGATGTCGACTACGGAACATCAATATGAGAGGGTAAAGAAAATGGCAGAGAAGCAGGAGGATAAACAGAGGTGAAAAAAAAAGCGATAAAGGAAGGAATTAAAACTAAGATTAAAAGATAGGGAAAAAAGAAAGGTAAAAAGATAAAGAAGTGGGAATTTTCGCAATGATAAAGTTTGAGCTGATTGAGATAAGTATGCAAGTAAGATATATTCAAAGATTGACCAATCTATTAAGTGAAGTAAGAAGTTGTAAGGATAAATTCGTAGAGAAGATAGAAGTGGTAGTATTTGTTAGCTGTGGTAATATATATATATTTATAATATTTCTATAGCAGTAGTAGTGGTAGCAGTACTAAAGCAGTTGTAATACAAAGTTAAACAAATGACATAAAAGTAATTTGACACATTCGCACAAATATGTATTAGCCTACTTATTCAAATGGACAAACTAAATACACAGATGGCTTGAAACGCGCATTATTGGCTACGCTTTTTTATAAATTTTTTTGGCTCCGACAAATTACGTTTTATTAAGTAAGAATAACAATGAGG